AGTGAAAGGGAGGGATGTTTTAGGGCCGGTCGATACAGCCGAAAGTCCAGAGAGCGAGCCGAGTGGCGCGAAAATTCGTGCGGATGAGGATATATCGTCGCGCGAGGGAGTTTAAACGGAGAAACCGAGGCTCGGTCTCGAGGGTGGTTTTTGCCCCTTCCGCCTCCCTACCTCCACTTCACCACTTCACTCTTCGCCCTCGCGTCCCTCTTACACCGCTCCTCTTACCTCGCAATTCTATGCTCTTTGTAAGTCTAAGAGTCTCGTGTTTCCTCCTCTCGTCGTCGTCGTCGTCGTCGCCGGTCTTGTTCGCTTCCGTAGTTTGCGGTGGCGACTAACATTTTCGTCTGAGATCACAAACAATACGTAACGGGAGCGTTAATTATTTAAGCAAAAATTTCAAGCTTCCTTGTTACGGTTAACGAGGTACTCGACCAAGCCGAAGCCGGTTTGTTTTATTTTTCACGAGATGGCGAATTATTTCGTGTTTTTATTATTATATTTTAAAATATATTGAATGAACTGAGTGTACGCCTGTCGAAATAATGAGGTGTAGCGCGAGTAAATTTATTATCACCACAAAGAAAATTTATTTGCGTAATACGCGACTGCGATAGATTTGTGATTTACGATAAATTTGTGATACGATTTTATATAAGATTCACCGCGCACGCCGCACGTTTAATATCGCGAATGATTGGTTGTTTAATAAGAACGTTTTGTACGCGACTGTGAATATCTTTCTCCATAAACCGCCAACCTTATCTTCTTTTCTCTATCGTATTTTACATATGATTTGTACCATTTTATCTGTGCGTTTTGTTGCACGAGCTTATGCTTTATTACTTCCAAATCTGTTCTTATGTGCAATCAATTATTGTGTAATTATTCGAATTATCGTTCAGTCAGTTATGAAACGCGTTTTTGAACGTTGCAATTAATAGTAGTACTCTTGAAGCAAGCTGTTTGTTCCAGCGTACATATGCCGATGTAAAATATACATATTAATTTTCACAAATGTTCCATTTAATATCTGTTATCTCGCTCTCGCGAAAACGTGCAGGTTGAAATAGCTGATCATTATAATAATTAGCTGTAATGCAACAGCAACTCGATGCACCAATGCAAAAACGCGATTATGCACTTAGCATTATTCACTGTAACGCTCTACCGAAACGATTATAACCATGATGATAAGCGAAAAAGATGCGGGTATATTAATATCTTATTTAATTTTGCAAAAAGAATAGAAGCATCGTAAAATTATTGTTTCATTATATATTAATTTGCTCCCATAACAATGCGGTGTTGTCATTCCATTTTAATGTTGACGATTCATGAGAAATTCTCCATTTCGCTCAAATCTCTGCAACAGTCTAATTGCATTTCTACCGGGACTGTCCGTGGTTACGTTGGATAATTATATATGAACACATAAAGCCTACAGAGAAGTCTTTCTCGTCTATCGACATCGCTATGTCGATCATATTGTACCGCACGCCACTATCGGCCATCGAAAATTCGTGCAACGCCCCATATAATCCGATTTACGCCGGCCGATGCTCTCGCGATTCCGACTAATTATTGTCTGCGTTAATTAAAACGTGTCGCGTACACGGATATTAGGATCCATTAATGTAATGCGCCGTTTGTTTCGAACGAGCGAAACGCGGCCATCCGGCGCGCAGGATGTTGTTATTAATTTTAATTAACGATCTAATTAAAATGATTCCTTTGTGGGAGAGAAATCCTTTCTTGGGAAACGAGCATTATCGCACTCTTGGGTATCCGCTACTTTGTCTAAACGAAACATTTACGGCCATGTCCATGCTTTGAGTAACAGAACATTATCATTGCAATGCCATCGTGTAATGCCTGTATTAGACTATTGAAATTAAGAGTGAAATTTATTGATCAGAGAAGAAAGAAAACCGTTACCAAGTTTAATATAAACTTTGCTTTGATTGGTTAAATTCAATCCTAATCTTAATATCAATATCTGATATGAGTTTAATTTTTTAGAGTCAGAAGTTATAAATTTGCAACATTTATTGAAAAATTAAATTCAGGATAAATATACGAGAGTTATGCAAATTAATTATACTCAACAACTGAAGACTTTGAAAATAAAAATGTATGTAACATTGAACACTGAAATAGAATACTTTATTCACTATCGTAGCAAAAAAATATTTTGGTACTTCCTTGAAGATGCTTTCTCATGTCTTTGACAATAAGAAAATTCAACACTTTACACTGATCTTAAAAACTGTCATAGTCTTAACTGTTGCTGTGTTATACTTTTTTTTAAAATATTATGAAATATTTGTTTTTAAAACATTTATCGTCAGTTTTGAGACTCTGTATATATATATATTATGAATATTAATAAATGTTAATAGACTTTTTATTTACAAATTATTTTTTAGCAAAAGCAGTAAAAAATTATTTCAAAATGACGTCGTTCCTAAAACGTTAACACCTATCGTAATATCGATTTCATGGTGCAACACTGTGTGCAATGTGGATCCCCGGAACATCGCACCAAACATTTAAGCGCATAATGGATGCTCGCGTCGAAGTTACGTTGCGCTTAAATGTTCACCGAACACTTGTGTTTACGCGTTGTAGTTATGATGTTTTATTACAAGTGTGAACATGGCTTAGGGAACATTCGGAATAGAAAACGACTTGCGAGCATGCAACCACCTCGAATTTGAGTACGAAGTACGTGTCTTTATATTTACCCAAATTAATGCTCGACGTCACAACGATTCTCGCGATAGTAGCCAAATTCACTGGCAGCATGCGGGGAGCGAACCGTTCTAATGAGAGAATTTCTGAATCAGCCGGCGAGTATTCCGGTGATTTACGCTTGTTTCGCTAATCGCGCGTTCTATATCGCTGGAATATCACGGTTCGCCAAGCCTCAAACTAAAGCGAGCGGGATAGCGTCGGCAGCCAGTCCGCCGGATGCAAAGCGGGTGAAAATGCGGCGCGCATTATGCGCGTGCACGTAACGTACTGTGTACGCGAGACTGTGTAGCGTTTTACTTTTTAATTAGGCGCACGCGCTTCGACGGCATTTCCAACCTGCATTCTCATTTTGCCGTCGTTGCGCCACATTTATGCAAAGTTGCATTTATCTCATTACGTCGCACTCTTGGCGGCTTCACAACGACATCGATAAAGACGTCGTGTAATTTCGGTCATTTTGGCAAGTCAAATTGGGGAATCAAAATGGTCAAATTCTCGATATACAGGAGGAAAGTTAATACTTCCTTGATTGAATGGGATTTTGAATTAGAATTGGTTTCTGATTCGTCCAATTTTATTGCTTAATTTTTTTTGAGAGACAAAATTACCTCCAAAAAGATTTTTATTGAATTTCTGGAAAACAAATGCACGAAAAAATATTTATGATAAAAGTTGTTTGTTGTGAAATTCTGCACAAAAAGACCTCCTAATAATGTTTTTTTATCTTCAAAACTATTCTCGTATTTAATTTATCTCCAACTTAAATTTTTTTTCATTTCACATTGGTCTGCCAAACAATTAATGTCGTGTTTAATAACTTTCATTTAAATTTCATTAAACTAAACAGTCTAATGTGTGGAACCTGTACAACAACTATACAAAAATCATCTAATCTTGACAATCATTAAACTTAATAATTTGATGAACAAGATTTGACTTTATATAATTCGGACACTACCACCACAGTATTTTTTACCTCACACTTCAATAATTTATATTCTGTATGCGCTACTATTTTATGTATGTAAACATTTATATTTAATTAATTTACTTTGTCCTAAAGAGGATCAAAATCATAGGTCGAAACGTATACTATTCATCGAATAAATTGTATTAAAAGCAGACACTGATAACTTGTGTTAGCTTATATTGGCATTTTACTTATTTCTTTGGATTTATTTATCTGAGCCTATTGATTATCTTGTTTTTTAAATTTTTTTCTAAGATTTATGTCTCGTATGGCATCGTTTGGCATACTTTGATTCGAAATTCGACCGCAAAATGGACTGAGTTTGGAGCCATTCTTTCAGCGAGCACGTGTCGAGCGTGCCGTTAAGAAAATTTCGCGGATTTTCGCGGTGCGGACGACGGAACTTTTGGTCGTTTCAGAGATTTATCGTTGCTATCGGAATTCATATCGGTGCGCACTGGTGCTTTCTCTTAATGAGATCTTAAATTCTATAATGCATTTCCAAAACGCGTACCGCCATTCCTCGCGATTGATCCGTTTCGACGGACGAGATCCCGCGCGTAATTCTTTCTCGTATAAATAAATGCCGTAAATAAATGTCCACGTGTTAATTCAATAAACGGATGTCAGCTTGCTGCGGGCCACAATGCACGCGAAATCGCGCGCCGTAAGTTTCTATTTTCTACTACCCGCTGTTGTCGCGCGGTCCCGTGCCCTCTTATTGTCTGGAAATGCTTGCATTTTTTGTATGATAAATTTATTGTCGCCATACGTCAGACTCTCTCGTGTACGCGGCGTATGGAGCCGCCAGTCTGACTAGCTCGTCCACTTATCTACTACGCCCTTTATTTCAGTCGCAAGTGACAAATAACGTCGGCATGTATATCTCCGTTTTTAATCGGGTCCGCCATAAATCCGACATAACGATTTTTGCCATGGATATTATTCAGCGGAGTAAAAACTAGAGCGCGGTCGCGTACCCGGAGCAAAAATATAATTTGCTCTCTCGGAGTTAAGGATACATGATGGCTAGGGATATCCTCACCGTGTATTTTCACGTCATTATCACCGAGAATGACATCCACCCATTCTCATCACTTTTGACTACCTATTTCAGTGTCAAAGCCCCGCTATTGTCTCACGAATCTCTATTGTTTTATGTCTTTTACGTTCGTGTACAGCGCCGTTATTCCATGTATACCGGATACCACGAAGCTGCATGTAGCCACGGCTGACCACTCCGGTCACTTATCTACTGCGTTCTTTGTTCCAGGCAAAATTGGAAACGAAAGCACTGAAAGCGAAGAGGCCAGGATTCACGGACGAGCGGTACAACGAAACCAGTTATTACGTGGAGCACGGTTAGTATCTTCTGTTAGATGTTTCGTATTTAATTCAACTACGGTCCAAGGCCGGTTGCATTTAAGTTTCGAATTAACTGACGAGAATTAACACGTGTAGTTTCGTGATCTCTTTGTCTTGAAGTTGACAAATTGCGAGAATTGTTCGCGTGTCAAATTTACTCTTTCTCTATCTCGCATTCGAGATGAGTTAACGATGCTGGTCGAAAGGTACGATAGTTTTGACCAATGTTTTCCAATCTGAGCGTCCGCGAAAACCACGCAAAAATGCCGCAAACCACCAAACCCTTGAACGGGATCGGTTAATTTTCGACAGTGTTGGCCTTACACTCGGGCGTGCGGATTTGCTAGCCGCACGAGTCAAGTAATCGTGGATAATCCGTCGGATAAATACCGACCGTTGCAATAATCCGCCAGCCTTCTCGCTGATAGTTGGAATGAGGCACTCGACTATTCCCTCGGAAGCCCGAAGTGCAGGATAAAGTGAATACTGCTGCGCAACAGATTTTACGAGGCACCGACGTATTCCTATGGCTCCATCGATTTCCAATCCCTTCATTATTTTCGAATTTCAAGGCAATTTAAATAAATATCGATTGTCTTCTTTCGCGATAATGCTTTAGGTAGCCTATAAAAATAAATTTCAAGATCGATATTTTTTTAGGATGTCCAATAATTTTAATATCTTAAAGAGTCCTTAAAACCAGTATTTATATAGTCGATTCTTATATTTTAAAATTGTTTTTGACTCTCTAGGGACGAATGTTGTATATGTAACATCAGAATTGCTACAAAACTGGAAATCAAGGAAATGTCAGAGACATTGAAAATGGTCACAAAAATCAGAGAGAAACTTAAAGTACATATTATTGAAAGTATCAGGTAGTTTATCTGAAAATTAGGGGCAAATTATGGATTTTTGGGATAAAGAATTTATGTCAAAATCATGTATTTTTTCCAACGTTTATTTTAAAATTAAATTCGGGAAAAATCGTGATCTGTAGAAGTTGCGTCTAAAGATTGAAGATGAAAATATATGTAGCATTGAATAGTGAAATGCAATATAATACTTCTAACCATCAGAAAGGTTATACATTTATACATACGTATTTTAATAAATATTGATGTCATGAGTGAAAGACAGTAAGATGTACTCATACTCACCGAGGACATGTTTTCGTATCGTTCTGCACATTATATCAGCCACCTCTATATTTTTAGTAATATTATAGTTTAATTTGTTACTACAAAATGGCAGTTGCTGAAATAAAATCTAATTGAATTGTTCAGAAATGTTTGTATGATCAAATCCTTTTTTTGTTCATCATGATTGATAAATTATTCATTTACGCATTTTTTTATAGTAAAAATAATAAAAAAAATTGTTTTTTTTTTTAATAACAAAATGATGCCTAGAGAACTAAGTATACTCTCTAAAAGTTAAGTATACTTTTTTTTAAAGTAAGAATAAAGAATTGTCTCTCTGAAAAGTGAAATCGCATAATATTTTCAAAGATTACCAAAATTAAGATAATCTTTTTCAAGGTTGATTTAATTTAACCAACTTCTTAGAGTGAGTTTCCACTTCAAAGAATATATTAGTCTTGAGACATCGTAAACTAATCACGGATTCATATTAGCGTCTTAAGACATTACTTAAACCGGTCTTTTAAAATAAAAACCGGTTATGAATACCGGTCTAACAATAAGTAGTATATCAAGTTTTATGATCATTAGTTTCTTAAGTATTTATTGCGAGAATAGTTTTCTGTCAGCTCATATATCTAAAATTCAAATCGAATGACATAACATAAAGAAACGCTTATCTTAATCTTTCAATCATGCAAAGGCACCCCCCGTTACTGAAAGAAAAGCCTCAAAGGACTGCGGTAGTGCATTCGCCGCGTGCGCTCTGATAACGGCCGTTGTCGAACGATATGGTAGTACATTCTTTTGTAGAATAAAACTGTCGCGTCACTTATAAACTCCCGCTACACGGGAGATATACCTATGGCAGTTAAGTCAATTTTGATTGTAACTGCTTGCCGTAGCTGCTGCTACGGTTTATCGTGTGCCAATACGTCCCGCGATCAGAATATCCGGAACGCCCTGTGCACTCTCCGCAGCCTCTCCGTATTCTCGCTTCGCACCGTATCCGTGATATTATCCGACATCGCCGTAGATCGCCTGGTGGGCAGACACCCGCGAGCTCATTATCGTCAGCAGCCGGCAGCGGTCGTGATAACGTGACGACGTGTCGCGGGCACGGACGTGAGGAAAGCGGAATCCGAAAGCGCACTGTGGAAATGGAGAAGCGACTGGGGAATAATTAAATTACCGTTTCAACGAGAGAAAGAGACTTATCGGTTCATCGTGCGCCCGATAATCAATGTGAGTGGATACCCCCGTAGAGAGACGTCGCTATTTCCATTTCTATCGAGCGCAAACCGCGACGTTTTTCCAGCTTTAGTTTTGTCGCTTTTATAGGCCCTAGAATGCTTCAGAAAATAATGTAATCCTTTGTTGTCATGTTATGGGAACGACGAACTTGAGTGTGACAAACCCAACTCAATTAGATTGGTTTTTCACTATAAGTTTTTAATTAACTTGTATTGTAGATTGAAATAGTTGTTCTGTTTTAATATTCCAGTTTGATTTTTAACTCATTATTCAAGTATTCTGCTAAATAAACGTCTCCAGATATGTGTCTATGTCTAGGCATTTTTACGCAATGCCTTACTTGTTTATATTATTAATTTCAAATATTTTTTTGAATATAATACTACAATTTAATTGTAATCTTTAAATATACAATTGAATTATTGTATTTAAACATTACGATTAATTATAATAATGTAATATATATTTTTCATTACAATATTTATTGTAATAAGAAAGTACTTGAGATTAATAATAAATTTTGTGTAAATATCTGGATATAGGTATACATGTCCGGCCACTGGGACATTTATCTTATTCTTTAGATAATCGACTATTTTTATTTCTGGACTTTTATATTTGAAATTTTAATTCATGATGTTTTTGATTGACATAGCGCATCACTAATTTTCTCGATTTTAAATGTAACACTTAATACTTAATTTATTGACTCTACATTAAAAATGATTCAAAACTAAGAGTCCAAACGTCTATTTTTATCTTATGAAAAAAATTTATCTAACCCTGTTATTTTGTATTGACTTACATCGCCTTATTATTGAAGTTTATGATCCAATTTGATTACTTATAACTTTTTATAAATATAACGGTACACTGAAAAACTTAAATCTTGATCAATGTTTATTTGGTACAAGAACATTAATTTAATTTAACTGTCAATTTTTTTTAAGTGAGTATTTAGTTTACTTACTGCAAGTAAATGTTTTAGCACTAAAAAAATAAGATTTAATATAAATATAAAATTTGATAAATATTTGTTCAATTTACCAAGCAAATGTCACGTATGTATCTTTATTAATAAAACAATCATAGACGATGAAAAATCCTTTGAAAAAATAAAGTCGGGTATGCCGTACCCAGAGTGGTACCGAACAATTTTGTTATGCCAGACACAGCAACAGAGAAAATAATTCAACAAAGTGCACTTCATAAATGTAACAAGCAAAGGTACTTATAGCGTGATTGTAGCAATCTGTAAAAGATCTTTTAATTATGTTTTTATCGAGTCTACAAATCATTAAAGCGATAGACGATGCATCGCAATTTTAGCAATTTTCAGTTTTTAATGCTCGGGTATTCTTCTGTGCAAACCGGGATACAGCGTTTAACTTTTCTAGTAGTTCAAGTCGACGTTTCTTTCGCCGAGCCATTACATTGGCGCGATTAATGTATATCCAGAAGCGAGAAGAGAAAAGCGTAGCCTTCCCGTCTCCAGCGGGAACAATCGTTCGGCATTGTTGGATCGAGCGATACGTGCCGTATGCCGACGTGAGCTCATTATCGCGAGTTAGGTTGCCGTTCGCGATAACGGCCGTTCACGACTGCGACGAGAGAAAGAGAAAGAAATAGAGAGAGAGAGAGAGAGAGAGAGAGAGAATAGATGAGGAGGAAGTCGAGGCGAGAATACGGAATTGCCGTCGGCGGAAGACGCACGAAGAAAGACCGAAAGGGAGAGAGAGAGAATGGTTGAAGCGGCGCTCGAAGGGTACGGGGGTGGTTACAGAAACGCGAGAAAAGGGATCGATCGATCGGATATTTAGACGGGCGAATGGCAATATCGACAACCGATATCTGTTCCACATTCGAATAATAGAGCCGCGCGAACGACGCACTGGGCATCTCTCTCTCTCTCTCTCTCTCTCTCTCTCTCTCTCTCTCTTTCTCTCCCCTCTACATCTCATTCTCTCCCTTCCATCCGTGCAGCAAAACAAAGACCTATTAATGCCACTCGGAAGACAGACAGCTGCTGCACATACGTTCTCCAACCATGTTCCCCGCCCATTCCCCGTGCATCTTGCCCTTAAATGCACCACGCTCGATCGAAGACATCGCGCGGGATGTTTTAGGTATGCTCGCGGGCGCAAACTCGTTGCGAGAATTAAGGGCGGCGCATTGTCCAGAGACTGGGTCACAAGGGTTTCCGAGTCACATTCTCGAGTAAAATAGTTTTCCATTTTCTTTTTTTTTTTCTCCTGAAAAGAGGAGCTTTAGGGTGAATTTATAAAAAAAAGACGCGCGACTTGTAATACGAGATTTATATTTTTTAAAGGAGGATGTTAGGATTTTCAGGCGACGATATTATTTAGAAGCTGATTGAAACTACCTGCGGATGCCATCCTGGAGGATCTTGTTCGGCGAAATGGCGGCTTTGACCGTACTCACGGTAGTGGATGGCACGTCGTAACGCCACAAACGCCGGATTTGGAAGCCCTGAAATCCGAAACGTCGGCTTACCGTCGCGCGTGGTGCACGTTGGGGTCTCCACCATCTGCGATCAGCCCGGCAAACGCACGTGTGCACGACTTGCGGGCGAGCTACCG